TTTTTTTAATATAAGAAACAGGGCATTTCACTAGATTGACAACATGGCTACAACTAATTGCATCATACCAGTTGACCACGATTTCTGGAAAGTTTTAATCAGCAGTAACCAGGTGAAAAAGGCTTCCATCATCCTCCTGGAATGTCAAAGGTCCTTGCATTGTATTAGCATTCCCATATAAGTCAAGACAAAGGAATAATAGAAGAGATGTCTATCTCAGCCAGTTATGAATAAAGGAGATCATCAAAACTCATTATTGCTTGATTAGCTGCTGACAACTTCACAGTTGACTGCCACAAAACCAAATTTTGGCCAGAATATTAAATCTCATTAGCTGAATGGTTAAGCTGGTCACGTGACTGAAAGTGTTGGTTTGTTTGAATCGCCTTGAATTATACGATTATAAACTTCTACCCTCTGTCTGCTTGTAACACCAAAACAGTAACCAGCCCCAGGCTTAGTTAATGCCTGTTTCTGATTTCAATCTCTCTCATAAGTCTATTTATCAAAAGAATCCTGTGTTTCATGTGTGAAATGAACCAGTTCCCAGCTTACAATTATTGTACTTTTAGCAGTAATTCAGCTGCATCTGTGAACCTGCAAATGGGATTTCTGTGCATAGCCAGCTGCAAGAAATTTCACTGGACATTAACCTACCGTTAAACAAATTCTGGTATCTTTGATTTTAAGCAATTTGTAACTTCTTTCCTTTCTCTTTCCTGAAGAAGTGTCCTGACCTGAAACATCAGCTTTCCTGTTCCTCTGATCCTGCCTGGCCTGCTGTGTTCCTCCAGCTCCACACTTTGTTATCTCTGACTCCGCATCTGTAGTTTTTGCTATCTCAAAATTTAAAACCACCTGTTTCAGTCAGGAGAACAGTAAAAAAAAAAAGCAATTCACCTCTCTGCTGTCCATGACAGTGTAATTATATGCCTTTTCGTTAGGTTTGATACCATCTTTAATGTTATTAGTTAATGTCGATGGTGGGTCCTCCCTTGACATGTATCATAGCTGTATATGCTGAAATATTCCCTTAAATATCTGCACTTTATATCTATTGACGTATCCCTGAATCTAATTTATCAGTTTACTTCAGCTAACTCTGTTTTCATACGGTCATAATTGACTTGATTTAGTTTAAAATATTAGCCTTGAATCCATTCTTGGTTAGAGACAAAAAATTGCAGATGCTGGAATCCCAGGTAGAGAAACAGGAGAAATGCGTTTCGGGTATTACCCTTCTTCAGGACTTATTCTGAAGAAGGGTAATACCCGAAACGTTGACTTCTCCTTTCCTCCAGATGCTGCCTGGCTTGCTGTGTTCTTCCAGCCTCCCATATGAATCCATTCTTCTCTCCCTCAAACTGAATTTAAATTCAATAATATTATATGATTACTACCTAGAAGCACTTTTGCCTGTCTTATTTCACACTATCAGGTCTGGCATACCCTGCTGTATGGTTGCTTCAGAACATGTGGTTCTAAGAAGGCACCTTGAAAATATTCAATAAACTTTTCAATTAGGCCACCTTTATTCAACTGATGTTTCCGCTCTATAAGCAAATGAAAATCCCCTTGATTATTTCTGAACCTTTCTGACAAACACCCATTTTTCTTTTATGTGGTTTATTTTAGGGCACTTGTATGCCTCTTACACAAGTGACTTCTGTCTTTAATCATTTTTCATCTTTACCCAAACTGCTTCTACATCCTGGTTTCCTGAACTTAGGTCATTTCCTACTGTGCTAATTCCATAACTAATTAACTGAACCACCTCTTTAACATTTTAAATACTCTTTTCCTTCCTAAATATCATTTTCTTTGCAATATTCAGGTCCTAGTTCATGTCAGCATACAGCCATGTCCCTGCAATGTCTATCAAATCATACTTACATACTTCCACTGGCACAATGAGTTCACCTGATGATTTCAATACTAAGCATTCAGATATACAGCAGTTAGTTTTGTGCATTCATTATTTTGTAATATGTAGGCTTTATCTTCTCTGCTCATTGCGTTTGTCAATAGCTTAGTCAGTAATTGTATAATTATAATTGTTATGCTTCAACAGCTATTTATTTGGGTTAGAAGCTCTTTAGATGTCCCAAGGACACATGAGGTACAATATAGATAAAACCATTCAGCCATTTTTAAATTTTATTTTTACTCTTTGAATATTCTGGTATTTGTCACCCTTAACTGCAGTTGATATGAGATATTAAATATTGATGAAGACTTCTAAAACTGGAGAATGTATGTTAGGCATAATGTAACTAGTGAATTACTTAAATTTAATTGCTTTTAGGTATGTTGGAAACTTAATCTCCACAGATTTCTGCTATTTTGTGTTGTAAATGCTATTTGATCCTTCAAAAAATAATTTTTTTCTATTGAAGCACAGAAATTAAAATGAACATTCTTCTCCTGCACACCTGTTAAAATAGTTGAACAGCTAGACAGATTCTATTGTCAAAATTTTTAAAACAGCATGTACACGATGAAATGTATTAAATCATATCAGCAATGTTTTCCTGTAAATAAATTACAAATTTCCACTTAATTCTATTATCACATAGGCATTGGTCTAAACTTTCTTAGTTTATTGAATTGTTGATTGATTCTTAAGTGGTTACATGTAGTACATTTGATTGCTCCTTTTCAACAGTAAATGGTGGCTGGTCTACTTGGTCGGAGTGGGAGTCCTGCAGCACTACCTGTGGTAAAGGATGGCAGAAAAGGACACGCACCTGTACCAGCCCCAGCCCTCAGAATGGTGGGTCATTCTGTGATGGACAGAACAGTCAAAAAATTGCCTGTACCATCTTATGCCCAGGTAGATAATTTATTTGTACTCGATGTTCTTCTTTTGATAACTTTTACAACATCCTCCATTTAACGTTCACAATTATCCTTTCTGATGAAATGTCATTACAAAAGCTAGAATTAAGACTAAGATGATGATAAAAATATTTATTGGAAATAATTATGATAGAATGTGCACTATAATGGCGTTAAAAAAATGTGTAAAACTATTAGAAAACAATTAATATCAATTATCAACTATTTTTGACAATCCATTGCAAATATGCCTAGGCTGCCAGATTCAGTAGATGATATATTATGTACTTATCCAGCTGAGCTTTTCTCCAGGCCCCTACAATGCAAATACCACTCCTGGAACTAAGGTTTTGCCAGGTCCAGAAATAGTCCAGGTGGGGTAGCTCTGCTAACTCAGATAGACATCAGTGCAAAAATGAGAGGTGATCATAGTTCTAAAAATTACTGTGTTCATTCAGTTTGAAAAGAGATCAGAAATGGCAAAAAAGTAGGACATCACTCAGGGGTGTGCTTAATAATTTCCTAAATAGTAAAATTATTGCTATGATCCCAGCTGATGTCACTATTGGACATGAGAATAGAGATCCCAGAATGAAATCTGGCCTGATAGCTCCATACTGTGTTATCTCTGATAGTTATATTATGTTTTTCTTAATTTAACCTGGTGATATTTCACTAAAATATAAACACCCATGGCTGCTTCCTTAATAAAATAGTTGTTTCTTACATAAAAGAAATAAAAATAAACAAATGTAGCTCTTACAAAACTCACATTTATAACATAGCAAGAACATATGGCAAAACAAAATCCCATGTATTCCCTAATGCCATCACATTGTTAATCAAAATCCAAATAAATTTCCTTCACTACCAGATCTGTAGATTTTATTAAATATTTCTTCTCAGTTCTGATTAGATGAGCTTTGAAAACATTGGGCGTGAATCCTCACACAACTGAGAACTTAGTCTTTCTCAGGTTTTGTTTTGAACTCGGCAGAGTTCTTGTAGATATTCCTGGTCAGGAAGTTTCACAAATTTCATTCTCTCACTGAGGCAACCTGTTTCTGTCACTACAATGAACAACTTATTTTTCTCTAGGAGAGACTGTGTTTCTGTCTAACTTCAGTCAGGTCTCCTTCAAACTGCTGAAAAGCTTTCAAACTAAACTAAAAAGCCTTGATCATCCTAGAGTCTTCTAAAGTTAATGGCTTTTATATCTTTCCTGTTGTAACAGCCGCAGAAGTTAGGAAGTAGAAAGCAACATGGATAAAGGGGAACCTGTAGATGTGATTGATGTACTTGGGTTTCCAAAAAGCATTTGATAAGGTGACACTTCAAATATTACTATGCAAGTTAAGAGCACATTATGCAGGGATGAAATTTTAACATGAATACAGGAATGCTTAGTTTAAAGAAGGCAGAGATTAGAGATAAATCAATCAGCTTCATATTAGAAAGCTGCAACCAGTAGAGTGTCACAGGGGCCAGTGATGGGGCCTCAACCTTTATGAATGAATCAAATGAATGATTATGAGCTTTGCTGATATCACAATGGTAAGTAACGGTGTAAGCTGTGAAGAGCGCAGAAAGAGTTTCTGAGGACGTAGGTTGAGTGAGTGAGCAAAGTCTTGGCAGATGGACTATAATATGGGAAAAGGTGAACTTGTTCATTTTGGCAAAAAGAACAGAAAAGCAAAACATCAACGTGTCTTATTTCAATAGAGAGTGATTGTAGAATTCTGTGATATATCAGAATTTGTGTATCCTGGTACATGAATCACAGAAACTGGGTATGCAGGTATACCAAGAGATTAGGAAGGCGCATTGGACATTAATGATTATTACAAGGGGAACCAAGTGTAAAAACAGAAGTTTTGACAGAGTTCTACATAATATTGGTGAGGCCAGATCTGGAGCACTAAGTTGGAGATGAGGGGAAATATTTCCTTTCAGAAAGTAGTAAGTAAGTGGAATTCTCTTCACCAAAGATAGTGGACTATCGAATATTTTTAAAGCTGAGTCAGGGAGATCCTTAATTAAGAAGGGAGTCAAAGTTTTAGGTGATCGACAGGAACGGAGAGGTGAGGTCACAATCAGGTCTGCCATGATTTGATCAAATGATGAGCAGGCTTAAGGAGCTGAACAACTTGCTTCTGTTCCTACTTTGGTTTCTTGTAAGTCCATTAAGATATAATTGTTTGTGTGGAAACATATTACAGGAATAAAGCACAAGTGCTGCTGATATGAATTTACAGCAGCAAATATTAAAAGTGCTTTTGAAGTAGGAAGATTGATAAATGTTTCACTGCCATTTTGTTGAAAGGTCACTTCAGTATTAACCCATTTCTTTCTTCCAGTTAGTGCCCAACATGCTGTGCATTTTCAAAATGTTATTTTTAATTAAATAAATAAATTGTTGATCTGTGGCTATGTTCCTGATCATTAAAATATATATATAAAATATTGTTAGGTATTGTGTTTTACATATGTAAATTGATATACTTGAGCTTTTTCATTGCTTATCTGTATGTATCCCTATTAATGAGAATAAATGGGCCAAAAAGCAAAAGTTAATGACATGTTATCTGTAATCTCCTCAGGCAATTCCCCACTGATTTTTTTTTTATTAATAGTAATTGAGAACATAAATTATGAATAAATGCTTTCTTCATTTTTCTGGAAAAGTAACCCTGATGGCAATAATGATTTTTTCCCCAACAAGAAAGAAATGTAATTACTAATGTGTTACTTGTAACAGCCTTTTATCATTTTGCCCTGTGATATGCAAGCCACAGTTCTCCAGTGAATCAAGCTCTTTCTTGTGGACTTTAGAAACTATCAGATTTTAAAGTTATTAGCATTTACCAGCCACACTAAGTTTTGTTTTAAAGAAATCCAAGGTTGTAGAATTTATTGAATTGGGAAAGATAGTTGGTGCTAGGACCATTTAAGCCTTTGAGAAAGTGTTAAGGCCAGGGCAATTGTTTGTGACTAAAGATTGTGACTGAACATCTTATTTTTGGAAGTCGTTCCTGTCTACCTCAATCACGGAATTATCGGTGTGGGACAAAATGGGGACAGGGGGCCACCCAGCTTCTCTATAAGCAGGTAGTGAGACCAGGAATATTGACCCACCAAATGATTGAAGTGAAAATGACCTGGTTCACAACCTGAACATCTGATGAAAAAAAATTTCTTTCACTATGGCTGACGAAAAGAGACACAAAGGGCATTCCCTTGACAACTGGCAACCTAATGAAGCTGACTTGCCTTTTTCGAATTTTAGTAACAGCTTGGGGATAACTGTTATCTGTTTCATTCTCCAAGGCAAAGCTTCAACTAATCAGAATCTGCTTGCCAACCAATCAATATCTGATTTCTTCTTCAGTATATATTGTTCCTTTGGTATTCTTGCATCTGTCCTGATGAGACAAAATGCTTTGACAATTCAACTCTTCTTTCAGCACCCCTGCAAGATAACGTTCAAAAGAAGTAAAGTGGCCATACTCTTACCAAACTAAGAGAGCTACTCTCTCTTTAGAGCGAGAGAGAGAGAGAGACAACTGGTGGTGGTTTAGCCTGAGGGTCACGATGCGTCAGGCAAGGGGAGAGGTTGAGAAGGAGAGTCCTTTTTGGTAACCTCAGCCAAGGCTGGGAATTAAATCCACGTTTTTGCCATCCCTTTGCATTGCAAACCAGTTGTCCACCCAACTGAGTTAACTGGGTGTATGTGATCTATACTTTAAAGAATTATATTTTTTTGAGGAAAATGAACAATCAATTAATGTTGCCACATCTTGAAATAGCAACAATAAAAGTGGATTTATACTGCATTGCCAGTCCATTGCAACAAGTATGAAAGCTATCAGAAAAAGAGCACCACACTTCTCAAATGGTGGCATGAATAGTGTCCCAGTTGGAATTAAGCATGATGTTCTAGGTACTAATGGGATTACACAGCTGGAGACGTCTCAACAAATAAAAAAAACAGGACAATGTAGCCCACTGAATGGAAACTCACCAACTCCCAAGATGTACTTGCAGTTTACTGATTGCATATGTTCAGCAAAATAAAGCATGATAACAGATTACCTTTTAATATTTTATGATAATATGAATTCTGAAGGTTGAAGGTTTGAAGCAAATAAAGTAAAAGAACTTTAGAGTAATGGAATAGAATAATTATACAACAAAGGAATCGTGAAATGGATATATGTCCTTTGAAGAATTATTTTCTCTGAAAGCTCCAATCTCAAAGTGATATGAATGTTTGAATGGTTGTCAAATAAACTTGCCTGACATTGACAGTCATGAACACTTAATATTCCTGTTGGGTAAGATTGTAGAAAAGAATCAGATATTTATCCATTAACCCTGCAGAAGGAGGCACTTGATGTACAACGATACAATTTAAGAGACTTCTGCTTTAGTTGAGTCAGAATCTCAAATGAATATCTGTATTCTGCCAAAATGGATATGTGTGGCTAAGCCAAGCATGATCTGCTGAAGTGCAGGCTCAATAAGGAAATCTTTTAAATGGAAATAATCTAAGATGGGTGTTGGAAATTTCAAGTGATGGGACTGTGTATATTTTCTTTGACAGTCTGATCCACTGAGGGTTTGCCCTTGGGAAGCTAGATTGTTGATTCACTGTCTTGCAAGCAAAGGAGACAAGTGAGGCCCTGAACAAACAATTGATTTTTATGAAACAAGCAACAATATTCAAATATTTCTGCTCATGCACTGGAAGACTCTTATATGAACAGAGCAGTAAGGAAACAATGGATTCATTGATAACACAATATGGAGCTGGATGAACACAGCAGGCCAGGCAGCATCAGAGGAGCAGGAAAGCTGATGTTTCGGGTTAGGATCCTTCTTCAGAAATGGGGGAGGGGGAAGGGAGCTCAGAAATAAATAGAGGAGGGGTGGGCTGGGGAAGGTAGGTGGGATGGTGATAGGTGAGTGCAGGTAGGCAGTGGTGGGGATTGGTCA